TTTTTTTTTTTTTAATCAAGAACCAGTGGTACTGAAGGACGAAGGCCAAACGGCACTGAAGGCATTGGCAAAAAACAAGGCTCCAGGAATTAATGGAATGAAAATTGAAATCTTTCAACACATTGATGCAGCACTGGAGATGCTCACCCATCTATGCCATGGAATTTGGTAGACCGCTACCTGGCCAACCGAATGAAGAAATCCATATTTGCACCCATTCAAAAGAGCGGTGATGCAATGGAATGTGGAAATCATCAAACAGTATCGTTAATACCCCAAGTAAAATTTTGCTGAGGATAATTCAAAAATGGCTGCAACAGTGTATCAATAAGGAACTGCCAGAAACTCAGGTTGGAATCAAAAGAGGATGGGGAACTAGATATATCATTGCTGATGTCAGCTGGACCTTGGCTCAAAGTAGAGAATACCAGAAAGATGATTATTTGTGCTTTATTGACTATGCAAAAGCTTTTAACTGTGTGGATCGTGACAAGCTATGGATAACATTGAGAAGAACACTTGATTGAGCTCATGAGGAACCCATACATAGATCAACAACAGGCAGTGGTTTTAACAGAACAAGGACACCCTGAATAGTTTAGAATCAGGAGAAGTGTGTCAGGGTTGTCTTCGTTCACCATACTTAGTCAATCTGTATGCTGAGCAAATAATCCAAGAAGGTGGATTCTATGAAGAACAAGGTGGCATCAGGATTGGAGGATGACCCATTAACAATTTACGCAGATTACACAACCTTGCTTGCTGAAAGCAAACAGAACTTGAAATAATTACTGATGAAAAACAAAGCCTTCAGTATGGATTGCACCTCAATGTACAAAAAACAAAAATCCTCACAACCGGACCAATAAATAACATCATGATAAATAGAGAAAAGATTGAAGTTGTCAAAGACTTCAATTTACTTGAATCCACAATCAGTGCTTATGAGAAGCAGCATTCAAAAAAGCAAACGATGTATTGCATTAGGCAAATGTGCTGTACAAGACCTCTTTAAAGTGTTCAAGAGCAAGGATATCAGTTTGAGAACTGAGATGCACCAGACTCAAAGCCATGGTATTTTCAGTTGTCTCATATGCATGTGAAAGTTGGACAATGAATAAAGAACACCATAGAAAACTGAGCATTTGAGTTATGGTGTTGGAGAAGAATATTGAAAGTACCATGGACTATCAGATGAACAAACAAATTTGTCTTAGAAGAATTAGAGCCAGAAAGCTTAGAAGTGAGATGGCAAGACATCATCTCTCATACTTCGGAAATATTTTCAGGAGGGATGAGTCCCTGGAGAAGGACATTATCCTTAGAAAAGTGGAAGGTCAGTGAAAAAGAGGAAGACGCCCAATGAGATGGATGGACACAGTAGCTGCAGCAACTGGATTCAAACATAACAACAATTGTGAGGATGGCACAGAACCAGGCAGTGTTTCGATCTGTTGTGCAAAGGGTCGCTATGAGTCAGAACCGGCTGGACGACACCTAACAACAGTGTAATTCTTATGTCTGATCTTCAAATGGGGAAAATAATAGGCTAGTTTCCCACATAATACAAAGATGTGTCTGTAGGTATAGTAAACGCCTTGATGACTGCTGTCCCCTACTTCATTAAAGAAACCAATTTCACTATTTTATCTTTCAAAACATCATTTGCCATTACTTAAAAAGTTATTCACCAAGTGGGAAATGTCCCCATCCTATGATTAAAAGATACAATTTTGGAGAATTTGAAAATCTGTGATTAAAATTTTAAAAAGGATGACGTTTTATGGCTCAATTTAAAACCCCTACTGTTAAAATGCTAATCTCTGCCTATCAGCTTGCAGTTGACTTGGAGTAACTTTGAGAAAACTCACCAAGTACATGAGACTGTCACGTTCCTGCGTTATATTCTCTGCTAGTCCAACAAGATTGGCCAAGTACTGATGGGCAGACATCTCATTCTCCATGGCTTGTTGCACCTGCTTTTTGAGGACATCAATTTTCTTCTGAGATCTCCTACAGTGTCCCCCAATGGTGAAATGAAAAACTCATTAGACTCAATGGCTAGGCCACACCAAACATCTGTATCGTAAACTTATCAGGTGAGGTGTGTTAGTATCTAAATGTTATTCACCAGCAACTTAGATCTACTACATGAAAGAAGACGAGGTCACTGAATTTCATTTTAAACCAAACATAATTAGTGACAGGCTAATTATACAAGTTTTTTGGCTCATGCTCTAAAAGACACTATTGAAAAAGAGACCCTGTGATCTCCAAGCAGATTTTGGGGAACTGGTTAGAAAAGCATGTTTAAATAATCTTTGAATTACAGATGTGAAAAACATGGGTCAACAGAAAGGCTTTTCTACTGTGCTGTTTGTGATCCAATCATCATAGTGACCTATTTCCATCTTACAGCACTATTAGAACAATAAAAGAGAAAGGAAATGGAATACTCTCCAGTTGCCTTTTTTTTTTTTTTTTTTTAAATAAAGTATATTTAAAAAATAAACTTAAAGGAAAAATAAAGAAATAAACCTATTTCTTCTCTGTGCAAGGTCAAGTTCAGCTTCTAGTGCTTTGTTTTTAACTGCCCAATTATTCTTCTCTAAAAGCAGGCTCTTGTTCTGCACTTGCAGCATTGCCAACTTTTCCGTCAACTCTTCCATCTCAGCACTTCCTTTCTCTTCTTCCTTCTGCAACTGGCTGGAGGAGAAACACATCACAAGGTATGTATGCAGTACATGGTGGTTGACGTAAGGCAGTCCCTGCCAGACTCGTGGTAAGCATCCCAGCCCCGGGCCCTGCGTGGCTCATTTGGAAGGGCTCTGTGGAGACCTCTCCCCACCTGGGATGGAGCTCCGAGAGGACAGGGGAGACTGTGCAGCATCTTCTTCAGGGATGTGTGCCTCTACACCCTTCTGTGGCTCACGGTATTTGTTGCGTTTGTGCGTATGTATTTTGTGCTGTCAGGTGCTGCTGAGCTGGCTCCAACTCAGGGAGACTCTAATTCTTCCAGCACAAACGTAAGACCGCTCAATGTCTGTAACTGTCCCCCCAAAATCCTAATGCCAAACAATATCTATTTCCTATTAATACAACGAAGGAACTCTGGTAGCATAGTGTCAGCAGGGTCAGCAGTTCGAAACTACCAGCTGTTCTGAGAAATGGCTGCTGGGTTTTGAACTGCCAACCTTATGGGTAGCAGTCCAGTGCTTATCCAACAGCACCACCCTAGGGCTCCCAGAACTATTATCATCGTGTTGCTGTTAAGTGCCGTAGAGTCAATTCCGACCCATAGCGACCCAGTATAGGGTTTCCAAGGAGCAGCTGGTGAGTTTGAACCCCCAACCTTGCAGTTCAAACGACTGTTGAGTCTGATGCATTAGCCCACAGCGCCACACAAGAAAGCCAAGGGTTGATTTCTTTGTGGTTTCCCTTATTCTAAGGATGTCGCCTTATGATGAGACAGCATTTGTGGATGATGCTGTCTCATCATATTTGGTAAAGTGAAATTTCATTAGGATTATGTCTAGGCATGCGTCCTTTTGAACAGAATACTCAAGATCTTCTGAACTCAGGAGGAAATGCCCTTCAACTTCTTAAAAAATTTATTTCATCTATTTCTTCCTTTCTATTTTCTCTAATCTCTTCTTCTGAAATTTCTAATGATCTGAGGCTGGACCTCTTGAACTGGTCTTCTACTTTTAGTTCCTAACGGTTTGTCTCTTTAAATTCTTAACGGAGCCTCAAGTGTATCTAATAGTCCTCTTGTTGATTTTTCACATTTTTTGGTAATCATATTTTTAATCCCAAAGAATTTATCATTTAACTTGATCAAGTTAAATTTAATCATTACTGCACTTTTTTTCCAGGATGTTTTATTCTTTTATATTCTCCTCACTTCTCTTCACTCTCAGTTTCCTTTGGGGTCAGCATATCTGTAATCTAGGTCCTCCTGTGCTCCTTTTTCTTTCTCCACTATGCCTAGTGGTTCTTGTTGTCTGTTCAAATCTGGTCATCTGCTCTTATTTTAGGAAGAAGAACTGGGTATTCGGTGTATACTGTGCTTTTTGCTTTGGAGTTTCCCACACTGCTAAACAGGATTCTGTGTACACAGATGAGCCTGTGGAGTGGTCCCACTGAAGGTACAAACTTGTGTCCTGGATGAAACTACATCCCCTCAGAATATGTATCAAGTGGAATTGGCCAGAACTCTCAGTTGTTTGGCAGTTGTGTGGTATGATCCCCCCATGAAGTGATCTGATGTGATCATCCAGGAAGAGGATTAAAAGTGGGATGCAACACCCTTCATCCCAGCACAGCCTGGACTCGATGTAAGGGAAGTCTCTCTGGGGGTGCGGCCTGCAACATCTTTTATCTTACAAGAGATAAAAGGAGAGAGAAGGAAGCAGAGATCAAAGGGACCTACTCCCACCAAGATGGAAGAGCAGGAAGTGGAGTGCATCCTTCTGGCCTGGGACCCCTTCACTGGGAAGCAACTAGATCTGGGGGAGGATAGCCACCAAGCTGGGCCCACAGATGTTGAGAGATGACAAGGACCTCACCCCCAGGCCAATACACAGCGAAAATCACACAACTGGTACCTTGAATTTGGCCTTCTAGCCTCCTAAACTGAGAGGGAACAAATTCCTGTTTGTTAAAGCCGTCCACCTGTGGTATTTCTAGATCACCTAGACAGGCTTTATGATCAAAACCAGGAGAAAGAAGGTATTCTTTTGTAGGAGAAAGAAGGTATTCGTCACTCTAAACCCTTAGCTTTCCCCGGAAGAGTTGGCTAAATTTCTTCTAAAAAATGGGTTGGTACCATATTTTTCTCCATCTACCTATCTTGAGTAAGCTCAAGCTTCCTAGCCAATGATAAATACAAAGAGAGCAATGTAAGCTTCAGGGTGTAACCACTAGTCCGGTGCTAAGTCAACCAGAGAGCTCACTAGGAAACTAGTTTCTGCCATTTCCCGTGCCACAGTTCTTTCCAAGCAGCGATGCCAACAGGTATAACAAGCAAGATGAAAGATACCTGCGACTCCCAATTACACTGACTCCAGCCAGGGTAAGAAGAGCAACACGAATGCATGGACCTAGAAACTCTTCCAACAGACACTCAACGGAATCTTTTACTTTGTGACCTCGTCTTTGCCTGTGACACAAGCCTTCCAAGTCTGCTCCAATGGGGAGCTCGTTAGACAGCTCTTGTCCTTCTAGTTCATAATTAGCTCTTTTATGTGTGGTTTACTCAATTATGATATTAGCAATGGAAAGGGGGCAGCCAGACGCAAACCAGCCTCAGTGGTCCGTCTGTTCCATTTGGCCAGACTCCAACATGTCCTTGGCCTATGTCACGTCTGTGGTAGCTAAAACAAACACACTCTTGAGTTTTCTTCTCCTTATTTTGTCTATCCTGTCACAGGTCTTGGAATAATAATACTGTCTAAGTTTCCTCTTGCTGCCTCAACAGAAATACTACAGGTGGGGGCTTTAAAGAGCAGAGCGCTGTTACCTGGCAGCTATGGTGGATGAAAGTCTAAGTCAGGGTCTCAGCTGCGTTGCTTCCTTCCTGGCTAGAGCTCTGAGTGCTCGTTGGTTACAGCTGAGCTTCCTGTGTGCTTCTCTCCATCTCTACGCTGCTCTTTTAGTAACTCAGAAGTGATCAGATTTAGAACCTACCCTACCTGAAGATGGCCAAATTAACATACCAAAGAAGCCCCCCATTTCTAAACAGAATTATAATTACAGGTGCAGGGGCCAGGGTTTGAAGATGTATTTTTTGTGGAGCATAATTCAATCCATAACAAACACCTATACATGCTTCCAGATGCACATAGTCCATCTCTGATGAGCTCATGTCCACCTTCTCAATGTAATGAACTCTCTATCCGGTCAAGCAGTGCCCCTTCCCCTCAGGGTCAACTAGCATAGTGGTTACGAATTGGGCTGTGAACCTCAAGGTCAGCAGTTCGAAACTACCAGCTGTTCCGTGGGAGAATGATAAGGCATTCTGCTCCCGTAAAGATTTACAGCCTCGGAAACCCTGTACAGGGTCGCTATGAGTCGGAACTGACTCCACGGCAGATAACCATCACCACCACCACAGGGTCAACCCCCCTCTGCTGCCCTGTCGCCACTCTTTCTCAATGGTCCTCTGCCTGTCAAGTCTGTACCTACAGCCTCTCAGAGCCTCCAGCTAGCAGAAAGACTTCCCCTAATTCACTCTGAGACACAATACTTTTGACCCACAATGTCCACATAACAAAGATTTAGTGACATCTTTGGTTTTTCAATGACTACACACCTCCCAATACTTTTACATTTTTGTTGTTGTTGTTAAGTGCCATCTAGCTGGTCCTGACTCATAGCGACCCTGTACAGGGTTTCCAAGGAGTGGCTGGTGGGTTTGTACTGCCGACCTTGTGGTTCAAACCAACCTTGAGGTCCAGGGTATTATCCTACAGCGCCACACTAGGACTCCAAGGCTTTTGCACAAGCAACTCCCTTTTAAATGTTTATATGCACTTCTGGTGGCTATTAGAATATGTGGCAAAATATGAGACTATGTGGCATAATCCATAACAAAACATCAGTCACAAAAGTGGGCTTTTGAGGAAAATAAAATCACAAAGATGAACATGATTTCCGAAATATTCTCTTCCTCTACTGGGACAGAAAAGGATAAATCCAGCCCAGAGAGCATGTAATAGGGAAGTCCAGAATTCTTGTTTGGTGCCTTTGAGTCAGTTCAGACCCTATGTACAAGGCAACAAAACACTGTGCCGTCCTCACAACTGTTGTGAAATGTGAGCCCATCCATTGTTGTACCCGCTGTGTCAATCCATTTCGCTGGGGATCTTCTTCCTTGTCACTGACCTTCTACTTGATCATGCATGATGTCCTTTCCCAGGGATTGGTTCATCCTAGTAACATGTCTAAAGTACATGAGCCAAAGTTTCACCAGCCTCACTTCTAAGAGTGTTCTGAGATAGAGTTGTTTGTTTTTCTTACATGCTACTGTCAATATTCTTCATCAACATCAGAAATCAAATGCAGAAATTCTATGGTCTTATTTATTCTGACTCATAGCGACCCTGCACAGGGTTTCCGAGGCTGTAAATCTTTACAGGAGCAGAAAGCCTCATCGTTCTCCCACGGAACAGCTGGTAGTTTCGAACTGCTGACCTTGAGATTCACAGCCCGATTCGTAACCACTACGCTACCAGAGCTCATATGAGACAACTGAAAACACCATGTTTTAGGTCAAGCGTACCTTAGCCCTCAAAGTGATATCTTTGCTCTTTTAACAATTTAAAGAGGTCTTTTTCAGCAGATTTGTCCAATGCAATACATTGTTTGATTTCTTGACTGCTGCTTCCATGAGTATTAAATGTGGATCCAAGTAATGAAATCCCTGATGTCAATCTTTTCTCCATTATCATGTCTATTGGTCTGGTTGTGAGGACTTTTTATTTTACATTGAGTTGTAATCTATACTGAAGGCTACAATCTTTGATCTTCATCAGCAAGTGCCTCAAGTCCTCTTGCAAGGTTGTGTCATCTGAGTATTACAGATTATTAACGAACCTTCTTCTAATCCTGATGCTGTACTCTTTCTTCTTCCTATAGTCCAGCTTCTTGGGGTATATTCTTAGCATACAGACTGAAGATCCAACCCTGACACACACCTTTCCTGATTTTAAACCATGCAGCATCCTCTTGTTTTATTTGAACGACTGTCTCTTGGCTCCTGTACAGGTTTCTCCTGTGCACAGTGAAGTCTTTTAGAATTCTCATTGTTTGCAATGTTATCTATAGTTTGTTATAATCCATACAGTCTAATATCTTTACAGAGTCAATAATGCACAGGTAAACATCTTTCTGGTATTTTCTTTCAGCCAAGATCCATCTGACATCAGCAGTGATATCCTTCGTTCCAGGTGCTCTTCTGAATCTGACTTGAAATTCTGGCAGCTCCCTGTCAATGTACTATTGTAATCAATTATCTTCAGCAAATTTTACTTGCTGATATAAATGTGAATGGCACAAAAAATAAGTTCCACATTTTTTGGGGTCACTTTTCTTTGCAATGGCCACAAATAAGGCTCTCTTCCACTTGGTAGGCCAGCCAGCTGTCTTCTAAATTTCTTGGTTTATAGACAAGTTAAGTGTTTCCAGCACAGCATCAGTTTGCTGAAACATTTCAATTCCTGGAGGCTTGCTTTTTGTTAACATCTTCTGTGCAGCTTGGATTTCTTCCTTCAATACCATCAGCATTTATTGAAACACCAAACTAAATACTTCATATACCCTAACTCATTTATTTGCCAACACTAATCCTAAGAAGAGAGCAGCATGGGTTGGGGGCTGAACAGGAAGTACACAATTCAGTCACCTATTTTGAGCTGAAAGTCTCACCTTTTAAAAATATTATCCCCTCCTTAGTATAAAAGTAACATGCATTCATAATACAATGCTTGGAAAATATTTTTTTAAGCTATAATTTAAACTATCAAAGAATATCTATCAATCTTTTTCTAGTTTTTTTTTTTTCCCCCTATGGTTTATACTTACAGTATAAAAAGGGGCTTCAACAAATTCATGGAAAAATGGAATTTTCCCACAAACTTTTGAAGACCTCTCATGTGTACAAATACACAGAAACACACTGAAGTGACCGATTTATTATGGTTGGCTTCTATGTCCCCATTTTCAGGATTAAAATTCCTTCATCCCCCTCAGTTCTAGCAAATTGGAATGGATGGTCACCTTAACACACACTTTTTTTTTATGTGACCATTCTGTACATACTGTTTTCTAACTTAATCTCTTCATGACCCCTGGAACTACTGGCCTGAAATAGTATTTAGACCATAGTCCAAATCGATCCTTCAAGTCTTCTTAAACCAAACAAGAGTCTAGTTTAACTAGCCAAAAATGTCTGCCTTGAGCAAAATGCTCCTTTAAAAATGATCTAGATGGGATCAAACTGACCACAGTAACTAGGAATCTTAGAGGGCACCCTGGGAATTTACATTAATGGGGGGAAACACGAGAGAAAAGCAGATGAGAATGGGTGTACAATTCGAACAATGTTACCAGTGTCTCGGAACTGTATGTGAAGAAACTGTTAGGTTGGTTGGTTTGCTAAGTGTATAGTCTAACAATACGAATCAAATAAATAATATTTTTTAAAAAGTAAAATAAACTTTGGTATCTAACAATTAAACTGCAACGAAATAGGTATATATTGTTAGATAAAAATCAAAATTTATTTTATTGTTTTAAATATGTATTTCTTCATTGTTGTTAGAATACTAACCCATTACCCTTAATAGAAGCCTGGTGAGTCCCCATTTTCCCCTCCTTCCCAGTCATAGATAAGACGGCACTTCAAAAAGTTCATGGAAAAATGGAATTGAAAGATAAAAAAAATTTCCACAGACACTCTGAAGCCCCCTTGTATATTAAGAGCGAGAGAAGCTATTGTCCCATGTCACAAAGAATCTTTTCTGACTACTATATTCCATTTATGGTTGGATTCTTTCACTTAATCATTCCCCTATTATTAGATAACTAGGTTTCTAATTGTATAACTTCAAGTTATCTTTGGAGCTACAACCAATAAACATTGGAACAGCAGGCAAGAGGACAGCCTAGTTTATTCTGATAAACTATTTACCATTGTCAATCTTAGACACCAATGTTAGCACAGCTAAAAGGACTGAGAAAAAGACTCAAACTCTGCTTATAACAACATGCACGGTGATTCATTAACTGGAAAAGATATTAACGCTTTACCTTTTTAATTCATTCACAATTGAAGTATGAACCTCCACTGCAATTTTGTCATCCACGTGTGTTTTGAGTTCTTGACATTTGTTCTGTAATATTTTCAATTGCTCCTTGTTTTCAGTGAGCTCCTTTTCCTGGCTCTCTGATTTAGTCTCCAGAACCATAAGTTGCTTAGTCAGTTTGGAAACTGGAAAACAAAAGAATGGATAAAGACTTGATACAAAAGATGCAATAAAACCCAAGTCTTGATTATTTAGGTAACACATATGGGACCCAACTTATAAAACTAATCTTTTAAAAATCTTTCTGGAGATAACCGAAAGGTCCTTGCATTTAGAAATTGTTGTTGTTGTTGTTAGGTGCAATTGAGTCGGTACCAACCCATAGCGACCTTATGCGCAGAACGAAACACTGCCCGATCCTGGGCCAATCTCACTATTGTTGCCATGCTTGAGTCCATTGATGCGACCACTTGGCCAATTCACCTCGTTGGAGGTCTTCCTCTTTTTCTCTGACCCTCCACCTTACCAAACATGATATCCTTCTCCAGCAACTGGACCCTCCTGACAATACATCCCAAGTATGAGAGATGAAGTTTGGCCATCTTGGCCTCCAAGAAGCACTCTGACTGCACTTCTTCCAAAACGGATCTATTGGTTCTTTAGGCAGTCCATGGCACTTTCAATATTCTCCTCCAACACCGTAACTCAAAAGCATCAATTCTACGGTCTTCCTTATTCACTGTCCAGCTTTCGCATGCATATGAGGTTACTGAAAATACCATGGCTTGGGTCAGGTGCACCTTAGTTCTCAAGCTGACACCTTTGCTTTTCAACACTTTAAAAAGGTCTTGTGCAGCAGATTTGCCTAATGCAATATGTTGTTTGATTTCTTGACTGCTGCTTCCCTGAGTGTTGATAGTTGATCCAAGAAGAATGAAGTCCTTGACAACTTCAATCTTTTCTCCATTGATAAGAATGTTTACTGGTCCAGCGGTGAGGATTTTTGTTTTCTTGACCTTGAGATGTAATCCATACTGAAGGCTGTGCTCTTTGATCTTCATCAGTAAATGTTTTAAGTCCTCTTCACTTTCAGCAAGCAAGGTTGTATCTTCTGCATATCACAGGCTGTTAATGAGTCTTCCTCCAATCCTGATGCCATGTTTTCCTTCATAGAACCCAGCTTCTAGGATTATTTGCTCAGCATACAGGTTGAATAAGAATGGTGAAAGAATACAACCTTGTCACACACCTTTCTTAATTTAAAAACATTCAGTGTTCCCATGTTCTGTTTCCATCTGCCTCTTGGTCCAGGTACAGATTTCTCATGAGCACAATTAAGTGTTCCAGAATACCTTGCATTAAGTCAGTGACAATATCCATTCACATACAAGGAAGACAGTTGATGCAGTGATTATTCAAATCTACATATCAACCACTAATGTCGAAGATGACGAAATTGTACAAACTTCTGCAGTCTGAAACTGATCAAAAGTACAATCAAGAAGCACTGATAATTACCGGTGATTAGAGTGAGAAGGTAGGAAACAGAAGCATCAGTAGTTGTAAAATACGGCCTTGGTGAAAGACATGACATTGGAGATCATATGGCAGAATCCTGCAAGACCAATGACCTATGAATTTGAAACACCGTTTTTCAACAACACAAACGAAGACTATCCCTGTGGACGTCACCAGATGGACTATCCAGAAATCAAACTGAGTACATCTGTGGAAAGAGACGATAGAGAAGCTCAATATCATCAGTCAGTACAAGACTAGGGGCCAAATGCAGAAGAGACTGCAAGTTCAAGTTGAAGCTGAAGAAAATTAAAACGAGTCCACAAGAGCCAAAGTATGACCCTGAGGCCACCTCAAGAATGAACTTGACACACCGATCACTTGAGACAGTGACTGATGACCCGATGAACTGCGGGATGACATCAAGGCTATCCTACATGAAGAAAGCCAAAGGTCATTCAAAAGACACGAAAGACAGAAAAGACCAAGGTGAATGTCAGAAGAGACTCTGAAGCTTCTTCTTCAGCATCGAGAAATTAAAGTGACTGGAAGAAATCAGGAAGTCAGAGAGCTGAACAGAAAATTTCAAAGGGCAGCTTGAGAAGACAAGGTACTCTAACGAGACGAGACATGCAGAAACCTGGAGTGAGAAAACACTCTCAAGTGTTTCTCAAACTGAAAGAATTGAAAAAAAAAAAAAAATCAAGTCTCAATTTGCAATACTTAAGGCAAATACTGAATGATGAAGGAAGCATCAAAAGAAGAAGTAAGAAATAGAGAGTCATTGACCCAAAAGGAACTGGCCAATGCCCATCCATTTCAGGAGACAGCATGTGATCAAAAACTGATGGCACTGAAGGAAGAAGTCCCAGCTCACAGAAGGCACTGACGTAAAACAAGGTTCCAGGAATTGATGGGAATACCAACTGAGATACTTCAACAAATGGATACACGACATGAAAAGCCCTCAATCATTTATGCCATCCTGCCGGAGGAGATCCATTCCACTGAAGGGTGATCCAACAGAATATGGAAATTATCAACAATATCATATGAAAGTATAATTTTGCTTAAGAGCATTCAGAAATGGTTGCAGTAGTGCATTGACAGGGAATTGCCAGAAATTCTACCCAATTCAGAAGAGGACGAAAAATGAGAGAGATCATTGCTGATGTCAGATGGATTTTTACTGAAAGCAGAGAATACCAGAAAGATGTTGATCTGTGTTTTATTGACTATGCAAAGGCATTTGACTGTGTGGGGTTAACAGATTAGGGATAACATAGCAAAGAATGGGAATCCCAGGACACTTAACTGTGCTCATGAAGAACCTATATATACACCAAAAGGCAGTCATGTTAACAGAACAAAAGGATACTAGCACATGGTTTTAAATCAGGAAAGGTGTACGACAAGGTTATGTGCTTTCACTATTCTTACTCAGTCTGTAGAATGAGCAAATAATCTGAGAACACAGCAAATATGAAGAGGAAGGTAGCCATCAGGATTTGAGGAAGACTCATTAACAACCTGTGATATGCAGTTCACACAACCTTGCAAGAGGCCTTGAAGCATTTACTGATAAAGATCAAAGACTACAGCTTTCAGTGTGGATTATCCCTCAACATAAAGAAATTACTGAAGTTTTACTTGGATCATCACTTCATGGAAGCAGCAGTTGAGAAATCATTTGTGGTATTGCACTCAGCAAATCTGCTGCAAAGGCTCTCTTTAAAAAGTGTTATAAAGCAAAAATGTCACTTTGAGTATTATAATATGCCTGACTCAAGCCATGGTATTTTCAATTGTCTCATATATATTCGAGAGCTGGAGAGTAAATAAAGAAGACCAAAGAAGAATCAATGCTTTTGAATTATGGTGTTGGAGAAAAATATTAAATATACTATAGACTGTCAAAAGAATGACCAAATCTGTCTTAGAAGAAGTACAGCCAGAATGTTCCTTAGGATAAGGATAAATACATGTACTTTGGACATGGTATCAGGAGGGAGACGGACAATATGCTTGGTAAACTAGTGGGTCAGTGAAAAAGAGGAAGACCCTCAATGAGATGAATTGACAACAGTTGCAGCAAAAATGAGTTAAAAAATAATGACTGTGTGGCTGACACAGGGTCAGGCAATGTTTCATTCTGGTGGACAGAGGGTCACTATGAGTTGGAACCAGCTGGACAGAACCTAACACCATTAAGCATTTCCTTCTACAGACCTTTTACTGTTGTTGTTGTTGAGTGCCATTTATTTATTCATTCAAACAAACATCTGGGAGATCCTTTTGTTGTCTCAAATATTTACTCCGCGTGCTTTCTCCCCGTTTCTAAGACACCCTGGTGGCGCTGTGGGTCAGGCACCAAACAGAGAGCCTCAAGGTCAGAGGTTCAAACCCACCAGCTACTTCTCAGCAGAGTGATGAAGCTGTCTGGTCCTGTAAAGATTTACAGTCTCAGAAACCCTGTGTAGGGTTGCTGTGAGTCAGTATCTAATCGATGGCAGTAGGTTTGGATTTTCCCCTAAAACCAGTTGTACTGAGTCTCAAGGTGTCACCTACATCTTGATCTATACAATAAAGCAGAAGCAATGATTACAGACACTGTGGAGCATCGGAGAAAGCAATCAGTCACTATGGCTAATGGTGACCATGGTTTAACATGTAACAGGCATTTCAAAAAGTTGGTGGGAAAATTCCATTATCTCTTTGCTCCATTTTTCTATCGCCCCCTTGGACGAGTTTTATTTCAATAAAGAATATATTCTCTACAATCATGATTTCCCCTATTTTCAAGTCCGGGGGCAATGGGAGACAGCAGGAGGGGCTGTAAGTATAAAACGACACAACAGGGACATTAAAAGAAGCCCCTGACCCACTACTATTGAGTCTCCTCTGACTCACGGTGACCCCACAGGACAGCGGAGAAGTGTTCCTCAGTGTTTCCAAGACTGCGTATCTTCATAGGGGCACAAAGCCTCATCTTTTTCCTGAGGAGTGGTGGGTAGCTTTGAACCACTGACCTGGCGGTCAGCTGCGTAACGTTTATTTCACTGGACCACCAGGGCTCCTTAGTAGTGACACTGTTGATAAGTGCCATCAAGTCGGTTCAGACTCACAGCGGCCCTGTGTAGGGTTTCTAAGGAGCTACTGGCAGGTATTGAACAGCTGACCTTGTGGTTACCAGTCCAGTGCTGATCCTACAGCGCCATGCCAGGACCCCGACCACAATTACTCAGGGGAAAGAGCTCTCACCTTCCTGGACACGTGCCTGCTGGGCATCCTGGGCTTTATTTTGCTGAATCTCCAACTGTTTTATCAACAACTTGTTTTCCTCTAAAACCAGTTCTGCTTGCGTCTGAAGCAGCTGCCTACAGGGAATTTACAAAATCATATAGTGAAATTCTGACTGACAACAGAAACACTCTCGAGTCTAAATAGAACGTAATTAATGCATGCTAGGCAGTAAATATCTGAACACGGTGAAGGTTACCTGGATGATCTACACAGCAAATTCTGCTCATTTGCACTAAACTGAAGGAAACGATCGTCATGAAAGTTGAGTTCTGGATTATTTCAGTAACTTTTTAAAATGTAAAAGTTTCAAATAAACACAAAAGTAGAGAAAGTAGAATAACAAATTCTTGGGACACAACATTTAGTTTAGACACTTCTCGAATGGCCAATCTTGTTTCATCTATCTATACATCCAAGGCTCTCTACTCACTGAATTTCCTTCAGTTAATATGGTATAGTTTTCTAAGAGTTTAAGAAGTCTCCATTGTAATGGAAAAATATCCACTTGAATCAGTAGCATAATTGCTAAACAATGCTTGTTCAAATCCTGAGAAACTGTTCTGTAAGCTGTCCTGAGATTTCTCAGGAGCAAAGCCTTTCCTTATGGATGATTAAAAGGAAATTCCCACCCTGCTCAGCCTTCAGAACCGCCAATTCCACTTAGAAGGAGATCAGTGACCCCAAATACAACGGAAACCAGCTAAATTATCTTCGATGTTTCACTTTAAGCTAAGAAAATGAGCACGAGAAGGAAAGAAAAAAAGACACCAGGAGCCAAGCTGTAGCCGCTCGCTACCTCACTTACTCTTCAAAGCCCTGAAGGAGCCGTCCCTGTGCCCACGGCAGCCCACCCAGCCAGGCTGCTCTGGCCTCCTCCCTCCTGGCTCAATTGGAGCAGCACCTCTTTGCTCAGGTTTACACGTCAGACGCCCTCCCGTCCTCTCCCCCTCCTTCTCTCCCTCTAGGTGCCCTGGTGGTGCTGTCGAGCACAAGGTTGGCAGTTCCAACCCACCAGCCACTCTGTCAACATTTACAGAGTAAGGGACAGTGCCACGCTCTGGCCTGCAGGGTCCCTAGGGACCAAAACTACTTCAATGGCAGTGATTTTGTTTCTCTCCCCCTCCCTTCTACTCTTTTAATAAAAGTGGAAACGCTCAGACTCAGTTGAATAACTCCTCTCATTGTATAGGGAGGGGCGTGGTGTGGCACTGCAGAATAATGCACTGGACCACAGGGTCAGTTTGAACAGCGAGGTCAGTGGTTCAAACCCACCAGCTGCTACTTGGAAACCCTAGACAGGGTCCCTATGAGTTGGAACCAACTCAGTGGCACTTAATGACAACAACAACAATTAAGTCCAAGGTCAGGGTAGGAGCTAGGCAAAGAGAGGTAGAGAAATTCAGCTGTAGCCAGAAGTTCACTGAGAAATTATTGAAAACTAAGTGGAAACTTCTATTGAACTGGGAAGTCAGTGTACCTGAGTGCTGGACAGAGGCCTCGCAGCTGCACACCTGAACCACACACGTGGGCAGGAAAGGGAAGCAGCAGTCACGGAGGCTCAGGTAGAGGAATACTGTGAGAGGCAGCTCTGCCCAAGGAGGACAATGCTGTAGAGCCCAGAGAGTCCCCACCCCAAGCTGGGGAATTCAAGGTAACAGGGAGGCAGGCCAGAAGCCCTCAACAGAGGACTGAACAGGCCTAACAATTCAGTCAAATACGGCACAGGTCACAAAGCTAGAGCGGAGTGCAAATGTCACCTCCCAGTAAACAAACACAGGATTGAGGAACATAGCGGGAATTATAAGGAAATATAAATAGGTTTGATTATGGCTATATACAAGCCCACGGAAAGAATCCGAGGTTCCAGGTTCTAACCAGGGCTAGTGAGGCACATGAGGCCCAGTCTAACAGAGCTGCTTCCCTGGGGACTACAAGAAGGGTTTGAGTCAAGACAGGCTGGTGGTCCTCAGTAGAAAATCCCATTCCATGGAGGAAGCTGCACTGCAAAGAGATCCATCAGCTGCCTCCCTCAGTCCTTACACATCGGTGACCACAAGACCAGGGCAGGCCCACTTAATTAAGGTCACGATGCGACTGACTTGATCCCAGATTTCTGGATGCTGCATACAGAAACTGTTTCATGTTTCCAGAGATGGCAAGACTTTTTAAAAAATGCGAAATATCCCCTACCTACCTAAAACAAGAAAGATCTAGCGATACGGTTTTTGTTTTCTCTTAGTCTTGCCTGGACATTGTCTTTAGACTTTGAATGCCATTTCCTTTCTCTGACTGATTTGTTAGGGATGCTCGGTCACACAGGAAGATGGCCCTGACCTTGAGCAGAGAGAGGAGCAGAGAGGCCGATGTGGAGACTGAAGTAGACACATGCGGCAGGGACCAGGACTGGACGAGTGAACAGGGCTGTGTCAGAAACAGACTTGAGGAAGCGCTACTGAGCAGGGTGCTACAGGTGGGCAGGTGTGTGTGGTGGGCATCCCGGGCAGTGGGAGCAGCACCAGTATGGGCCGGGAGGTGTCAGGGAGCAAAAGGCCTTCAGTGGAGCACAGAGCAGACAGAAGCCGGTGAGCAAGGCTGGACCACTCACTGGAGACTGGGTTTTAAAGCCCTGAGAGGAATCAGGGGGTTCTGAGGAAGGACAGGAGTAGACAGGTTTGGGATGGGCAAAGTGACAGAAAATTACCATCTCAGAAAAGAAAAAATGGGGAATCAAATAAAGTTCAGGGTTGAGAAACTAGAATCTTTAAAGTAACCTTCAAAGTACAAGCTTTAAATAATTTCCTGGGATTTGTTGTATTTGTCTTAGAAAATGTTCCCTTTAAATATTTTCTTTCAAAAAGAAAACACATCTTATTGTTTAATACAAAGTATGTTTAATACAGTGGGCTCCTATTAATTTCTCTCTTTTTTTGAAATTAGCAAAATAGCAAAGACACATGACTTGCCATTCCTTACTGGTAACAGGACTAGCCTTATTTAACTCTTGACGCAATTCTTCATTTTCTTTCACCACTTCTTCAACTCGTATCCTAAACATTCTCATTTCCTCCTGAAATAAAATTTACGGACATTTTAACACGCAGATCTCTGTATAGTTTTCGTGCTGTCACGATGGCTAAGATCAAATGTTAACAGCATTTGATTCGACCTCATGGCCTAACTCTGTTGGTACCACTATCAAGCTCCTGTGCTCAAATAGCTCATTGCCTACTTAGACACAGACAAGGGACACCTACAATGCCAAGTACCAGGGAGAGAGAGGCCCAGGTTTTCAATATTCAAGTCCTCATTTCTTGACATCTTTCTTTAACTGCCAAGTACTTTAAAAAAAAAACACGGGTGGGGAGTGGGGGAGGAAGGGAACGAGGTAATGAAGCAGTTGTTCCAACTCATAGCGACCCTGTATAGGGTTTCCAAGGAGCAGCTGGTGGGTTTGAACCACTGACCTGTGGTTAGCAGTTCAATGCTTATCCCACAGTGCCGCACAAGCAGCTTTTCCTTGGCTTAAAACCTTTAGAGGACAAACTGGAGTTTTTTTAGATGAAATTTTCCCATTTCATTACAGTTCATTTTGGAGGATTTGTGTGGCGGCTGGGACCGCTTTACCAGGCGTGTCTTAGTTTTGTCCCATTTAAACCACGAGGAAGTCTCTTTTCTCCAAAGCCATTCACTGATAACAGTCCAATGGGAGGCCACTTGCTGGGACTTAGTTTTCTACTAACAGTGTTTTTACTAGGTTCTGCTGGGCCCCCTCCATCACCCACTTTTCTCAGCCCTGTGCTGTCCTTGAGTGAGACCCACAGACGGCTATTCTGGGATGCTTTTAAATGCTCTTGTCCCAGCTGGCAGACAGCTGTTGGACTTAAAGCAGCATCGTGGAATAACTCCTCATCTCACCTTTCTGCCTGCCTGACTGGCTGGCTTTCTTCCTCCGCCGCTTTCTTCCACTAGCATTTGAGTATCTGCTATACGAGGGTAAATCAAAAGTACTGCTTCTAGGAGATGATGACGTGGAGTGATGAAGTGACTGGGGACTTTGGACCCAGAGAGGGAAAGGGACTGTGGGCTGAAAACTGGGGGGGAGAAGGGGGAAGTGTAGGGAGCGGGTTTCTGGGATATACCCTTTGGGTAGTTGAGGATGCATGGAGGGGATTGGAACCATGGCACTGAGATGATATAAGATGGAATGAATGTAAAACTAAAGTTCTCCCATGTAAACTATCATATAATTCACAATAAAACATTAAATAAAAAAGTACTGCTACTAGGGTTCCAGTTGCAGTGTTCATTCCAAACATAACGTTTCTCTGCAATCAGTGAATGGCTGCAGACAAGTTCTTTCAGTAACACCCTTATCTTAGTCTTCTTTAGGACTTCTGGTAGAACGGTGTAGGATCAACACTGTACTTCGAATTACAAGGTCAGCAGTTCAAACCCACCAGCTGCTCCCTGGAAACCATACAGAGGGTCGCTACGAGTTGGAACTGACTCAATGGCACTTAACAACAGTCTCCCTAGGGTGCCTTCAAAAGAAGGCCCAATCAAAACAGTGGCTTCCAAGGGGATCTACTAGGCCAGTTCAGTTCAAGGCAGAAAGGTCAGTTCAGAAGGTTTGGTGACTGTTTGAGGGGACTCCAAAAAGGTAATCTTGATAGTTTCTTGAAACATACAGGAGAGACATGGTGGCTGACTATGAAGAAATTCTAAGAAAACTTAAAATTGGTGAACAAATTGCCAGGAAAGGGGCCCCAGGACTTTTTTCCTATCACAATGTACCTCCTGATTCTTTGAGGTTAGCAAGGGCTGTCCTGTGAGAATTTCATTGAGAAGCCTCGGCCCCTTTTCACCCTTCTTCTCTGATCTTGCCCCTTCAGACTTTTTTTTTGTTTTGTTCCCCAAACTCAAAGAAAATGTAAAAGAAACACGATCTGAGTCCCTTGAAGATGCTAAAGCTGCTGTTTGACATTATGTAAGCCAAAGAGCAAAGGACGCAAAATCATTCTGGGATGGGTTACCAACTCAAAACCCACTGGCACTGATTCGATCCCAACTTACAGCGACCCTGTTTAGGGTTTCCAATGCTGTCAATCTTTACAGGAGCAGAGAGCCTCAACTCTCTCCTGTGGAGCGGCTGGTGGATTTGAACTACCAGCTTTGTGTTTAATAGTCAAGTGAGTGTCCTATAGCCTCCACCTTCAGGAGTGTACAGATCTAGGCACAGGCTATGTTGAGAAACTATAAGTTCACATTTTGATACAGTTCAGTTGTTTAATAGAGGTTTCTCTAATTCTATGGCAATACTTTTTTGATTTACTCTCATATGTTGGGCATTGTTGTTGTTAAGTGCCGTCAAGTCAGTTCCGACCTTTAGCGACCCTGTATAGGGTTTCCGAGGGGCGACTGGTGAGCTTGAACTGCCTACCTCGCAGTTCAAATGGCTTTGCAGTCTGGTGCATTAACCCACAACGCCACACCAACCATCAACAAAATTTTTCTTCAAACTTGAAGCATCCTTATTTTTTATGAACCTCATCTCTGCTGAGACATTGCAGACCTACCTTGAGAGAATCACAGAGCTCATCTTTCTCTTTCATTCTGTCTTCATAAGCCAGCAACAGAGGTGACAGGCGCTTTATATCCAACTGAAGGTAATGGAGCAAGAGAGGATCAATATATTCCTGACACATACACACATTCCGCAATTTTAAAAGGTCCAGAACACACGCTTAACTTAAAATGGTCCTTCACAGTTTGAATCAGATTTAGTCCAGAAACTATGGACCTGAAATTAAACAAGTAACTTTTCACTTACCAACCAGGGTGGTACCGGGCCCTTCACTGGGAGGCCTTCAATATTTAAGCTCTACAAACAAAACAATTAATGAAGACAAATTAAACTACACTTCCTCTGAAACTTCAGCTGTTAGGTGTTTGTAATTTAGATGAGACATTGGACATTTATGCATCTATACGTATGGCGCTGTAACCTAATGTGCTGGACTGCATGATCGGTTTGAACCACAAGGCCAATGGTTCAAGCTCACCAGCAGCTCCTTGGAAACCCTATACAGGGTCGCTATGAGTTGGAACCAACTCGATGACACTGAACACCACCACCACATATATTTTTGGTCTTGTTAGGTACCGTCAAATCGACTCCAAGTCACCTTAACCTGATGCACAACAAAATGAAACTGCCTGGTTCTGCGCCACCCTCAAAACTCTTGTGAAGTTTGAGCCCATTGTTGCTGTCGCATGTCACTGCATCTCATTGGGGGGTAAGTTTCCTTTTTCAATGACTCTCTATTTTACCAAACATGATGTCCTTTCTCCAGGGACTGGTCCCTCCTGACAACATGCCCAAAGCATGTGAGCGCTCTAGCTGGATTTCTTCTGAGACAGATTTGTGTGTTCTTCTGGTAGGCCATGGTTATTTTCAATATGTCTGTAGGTAGTATGTATTTATATTTGTATGTATCTATGAGAAAAACTGTTTTCTGAAATATTTGAGACTGCTGTTTGATTTTCCATATTCCAGTGTACAGTTTCAAAAACCAACATTCTTTTTCTTAACCACAGTACAACTGTGAGAACTAAGAGTAACCCTAATAGGCCACTATTCTTTAGTCTAATACAGACTCCTGGTGTGGTGCTGTACCATCAGAACTGAGCTGGGAACCAAAAGGTCAGCAGTTCTAAGCCACCAGCTGCTCCTCGGAAATGCTACACAGGGTTGCTATGAGTCTGAATCGACTCAATGGCACTTAACAACAAAGGCGGTCTACATACTGTATTTCTATTTTTCCAATTTTCCCACTAATGTCATTTTTCTGTTTCAAGTGTCCAATACAGAGCCACATGCTGCATTTAGTAGCCAAGCCTCTTTCATGGTCTTTAATCTGAAACATATTTAGCTATTTTTTACTTGGTGGTGGACTTTTTGAATGCCACATGTTGTGTCTGAACTTCATTGACTCCCTTTCAAGATTCCCTTTTTTCGGTTTTTGAAGACTCTTAAGGTACTGTTGTGGTGCTAGGGAAACACTGGACCTCGAGGTCTGTTTGAATTGCAAGGTCGGTAGTCCAAACTCACCAGCTGCTCCTCGGACACCCTATACAGGGTCGCTATGCGTCAGAACCAACTCGACAGCACTTAACAACATAACATATTTACACCTACACATATATTTTTTGGTGGTTGTTGTAAAATTATATCTGGTATTTGTTACTGATGTTATGTGCTATTGAGTCATTTCCTACTCATAAACACCCTACATGCGGTTTCCAAGGTTGTAAATCTTTACAGGAACAGAAAGGTTCACCTTTCTCCTGCGGAGAGTTGGTGGGCTCAAACTGCTGACTTTGTGGTTTTCAGTCCAGTGCTGATCCCACAGGGGCACCAAGCTCCCCATATCTGTCATATTGCTGTTGTTGTTAAGTGCCATTGAGTCTGTTCCAACTCATAGCAACCCTGTATAGGGTTCCCAAGGAGCGGCTGGTGGGTCTGAACCACCAACCTATGGTTAGCAGTCCAGTGCTTATCTTATAGTGCCACACCAGGACTCCAGATCTGTCATAGCATTTGTCAAAACGTTCTTTTTATATGTGCACATCGCAGTGATGCCATCTGCCTGGGTGAAGCTGTGCACACTTCACACCCACATTCAGTGTTAACTTTCCCATCACCAAAAATAACAAGCATGCTGAACCACAAGGTAAGCAGTTCAAGCTCACCAGCCGCTCCTTGGAAGCCCTAGACAAGGTCACTGAGAGCAAACCAACTCAAAGGCACTTAACACCAACTAGTGGGTGAGGAAGCATGTTTCGTATTGTGCAATCCCAAGAACGGGGGTTTTTTGGGGGCTGAAAAATGTTAATATATGCTAAGTGAAAGAAGTCAGTCACAAAAGACCATGTACTGTATGATTCCACTGACACGGAATGCCCAGCGCAGGCAAATCCAGAGAGAGAAAGTGGTTCCAGGGGCCAGGGGAGGAGGAAGCCAGGAGTCTTTATTACGTGGTTTCAGGGTTTCTTGTTGATGTGAGGGAAATGTTCTAAAATTTATTGTGAGAAATAACTCTTGTGGGCATGGTCCATCTTCAGTGAAGGGATAAGGGAAGTAAGACTTGGAGGTAGCAGGCTAGGAAAACAAAAGCAGGATGAATTGGGGAAAGTGAGGAAGAAATCTTTTCTAGGACCGTTGTTGTTAAGTGCCGTCAAGTCGGTGCTGACCCATAGCAACCCTGTACAGGGTTTCCTAGGCAGACAGAAAGCCTCATCTGTCTGCCACAGAGCGGCTGGTAGTTTTGAACTGCTGACCTTAAGGTTCACAGCCCGATTCGTAAGCACTACACTACCAGAGCTCCTTGTTCTAGGACTAGGAACTTTAAATAAGAAAACAGTCAGTAAGACCAGGGGGGAGCCATTTGGCTTCTCTGGGGGGGTGGTAGGGGGTAGGGAAAATGGGGTAGGGAAATTGTATCTGGGGAACTGGAATTGGAGGAGGGGCTTTTTCGAGACAGGGGAATAAAACTGTTTGCAGGCGGGCCATGCTGTGCATCTGCCTATGTCTACTGGGTTGGCACCGATTTTGCAAAATCAAATAAAGGAAACCTCACTCTCGCTAAAATTAGTACAGATCACATTACTTGAGCATTTGTCGGTATCAACGTTTCTCACGTGATGGTTATACAACTCTGAATACATTAAAAATCACAGAATTGTATACCTTAAATGGATAAATTTTATGGCACTTGAAATATATCTCAAAGCGATTTATATTTCAAACAAACAAATAAAAGAAGGTAAAATGAAGTCATACTTCTAAAAGAAAATTCTGTGACAATCATTGGCATCCAAATCAGAAGCCCACATGGTTCCCCCTAATTCCAAGGTGCCATGTGAGAGCCCGGTGTGCTTACCCTCCCCCATCAGGAGCCAATCAACCGAGTATGCCCCTCCTGCGCACACGCTCTCTCTCTCTCTCTCTCTCTCTCTCTCTCTCACACACACACACACACACACACACACACACACACGTCCCTCCCATGCGTGACTTCTCTGAGAGCAAGAACCTGACCTGTCTGTCACCATTTATTCCTCCTCACAGAATGGTGAGCCACTAAATGATCTGTTCACGGCTTAATCCCTGGATTTTGTGACTGTGGCTTTATTTGAAAACGGGCCTTTGCAGATCTAAGTAAGCTAATGATCTTATGATGAGACCACCCTGGATGATAGGGGTGGACCTTAAATCCAATGACAAGTGTCCCTGTAACAGACAGCAGAAGATGGAATTAGAGAAGGTCACATGAAGGGCAAACGAAAGGTCGGCTAGCAGTCACCAGAAGCTATTAGCCCAAGGAAGGATTCTCCCGTAGAGCCTTTCTGGGAGACAGGGCCCTGCCAACACCCTGCTGGCCTCCACACCAGATAACAGCAAATGCCTACTGTGTTAGCCACCAAGTTTAAGGAACGAATACAGCATCTAATTTAGTGGCTTGCTAAGTAAAATCTGCTAGGTTGGATGACTTAATCTGATCTATAAAGTAAAGATGCAATTGCTTTGTTTTCAGAGTTTGTATGTTGACAGACTGACAAGGGCCGTAACCTTGACGGACAGGACTGAGAGGTGTGCCCTACTTTTTCACTTCCGGATTGCTGCAACATTTCACAAAGAACCTTCGCTGCCGACATTTATAATGGGGAGGGAGGACAACAGAAAGGCCCCAGAGACATCCTGCTTTGGATGCATCCTTTTTAATATCAAATTATATAAATAAAGACCCCACAGGATTAGAAATCAATTAGACAGTAAAGGATGAAAAAAGTGAGAGCTGAGGTGTTGTTTTTTTAAACTGGAAGCATTACCTCTTCTTTGGAGAAATGTCTGAATTTGGTTTGGTATCTACTCAGTTCCACATTCAAACGATGGACTGTCATTTTCAACCCACTGTTTTCATCCACCAGTTCCTCAGCTTGCTTCCTCAGAGACGCTAACTCAGGTCCAGCCACTTCTAAAAAAAACAAAGAAAATTATATCAAATTTACCAAAATTTTATATGAATTGATAAGCATCTACCCAATATTTTCCTTTTCAGGCTCACAGAGGCAATGAACGATGAATCCATAAACATAACTGAATAATTAAAGTAACAAAGTTATAAAAACAAGAATAGTCTACATTAACTTGGAAATATTTACATGTAGATTAAAGAACATACTTGTCTGAGTCTTGTTAGGCTGCCTTCAAAAACAAAAGTTCAATCAAAACTGAGACTTCCAAGGAAGGATGCTGGGTCATTTAAGCTCGGTGTAGAGATCAGCTCAGAGGGCTAGGGCATTTGTTTTTTTT